AGTGTTAACAATATCAGGCATGACAAACTGATAAAGAACCAGTTGTATAATGGCAAACCACAAGTGTTTGGTCATTCCTTCTGCAGAATGCCTAGCCACAGCATGCGCAACCTATTGAGCAGATTACATACATGGGGAAAGTTCCAAATATGTTAAAATGAGATCAGTAATTAACATAACAGCAAGTTACTACCAAACAAAATACCAGAAACAAGGGCAACCCAAGCCAAGTTGGTCAGGCTATGACTTGATAACTACAAGGTTATAAATTCTATTCCCAGCAGGAGCAGCCTATTGACTTTCTTGATTTGAACTGGTCAGGTACGACCAACCTAAACCTAGTATGATGTTAGAATCAAACGCTTATCATTAGGGACTTGGCCCACCTAAACCTAACCATGTTAGGATCAAGTACTCCAAAAGTTATAGCTACATTTTCGAGAGGCATGGTGTTGGACTTCACCCTTCATGCCTCCGTCCAATAATCCCTTAACAGGACTTGGCCCTTCACTAGCCTCCGCCCAACAACTAATTTACCTCCTTATGGTTCTTAAGACGGGGTTTACACACTGCACACCCTCACGTAGTGAGTGCAAGTTTCCTTGTCACTCAAAAAAATGGCAGAAGAAGTATATACCTCATGGCCAAGTATGGTTGCAATCTCAACATCTGACTTGAAATGATCAAGCAAACCAGTGAACACAACAATCTTCCCACCAGGCAAGCAAAAAGCATTAACTACAGGCTCATTAACCACTAAAACCTCCCAATTTAGTCCCTCCAAATGGTCAGTGGAGGATTCTTTGCCTTTCTGCTGCCCCTCCTTCCTGCTGTGCTCAATCCACCTATCATCAAGAACTTCATCCTCCCTATGCCAATTCCCCTCATGGACACTATCAGTCAAAGCCGACAATGTCTCTTGCCCACTAATGCCATGATTCTCCACACCCTCAGATGTGTACTGAAGATCACTCCACACCTGCTCCTTCCTCAATCCTCTCTGCAGAGCCCCAATTATGTCGCTAGCTATCAACCTTACTCTTACACTTTCCGGGTGAATCGCGGGGAGGATTTTCCCCTTGAAACTCGCTTTCATCTGCTTAAATTGAGTCTCTCCAAGCTCCCTCTCCATGCTTCTGGACAAGAGCACGAAATGGGTGCGCTTTGTATAAGGTATAGTCTCTACATGCCCGGCGTAAATCGTGATGGCGAGCCCTGAACCCACCACAACAACGATGAACACATTCCTAGGGTTCTGAAACCAGCGCTGCGGCCCTCGGGGACGAAAGTGGCGGACTTGGTACCGATCCACATAGTAATATCTCCTCGCCTGAGCAAGAAAAGGGCTGCTTGTATGCTGAAACCCTGATTGACATTTTGAGCTCCTCAAAACAGGCGAGGAAAAACGAGAGAACCCAGATTCGAAAGAACTGTACTGTTTGGTGCCTGAAATGGATTCGGAGACGCGATTTTTGGACGAAATCTTTGACGCTAAGCTCCTGAATGCATCGAATGCGAATCTTGATCTTCTATGCCATCCCATTGTACTGTAGAGAAAGATATAATTGGCTTCAACGTATGTGAGTGTAGATGAAAATCATTAAGAACTGGATTTCTTGGAGGAAAATCTAGAACTTTTCTGTTGGAAAGAAAAACTGGCGTAGACCATTTGGGCGGGTTAGATTCAACCCGCCCATTTCTTTTATCCATCTCGCCCGACTATTTTAAGCGCCTAAGCGGTGCGTTAAAAAGAAACGGATTCTTGGCTAGTTGGCTGCCGTCAATAAAAAAATAAAAATTTATAACATAAAGTTACAAATTTAATTTTTCTCACCATTTTTCCGATACACATTCTTAAGGGGGTGTATTCAATCATGACTTTTGTAGAGTTTTAAAGACTTTTAAAATGATATATTTTAATAAATTTTGATTGACTTTCATATAGTCGCTCAAAACTTTTTAAAACTTTATAAGACTCTATAAAAGTCTATATAAAAACATTCATAGACTTTTATAACTTTTTATTTTAAAAAGTCTACAAAAGTCATTGAAATTATAAATTGAATATATCCTTACAAACTTTCAATAATTTTGATTATTATCATTTATAATTTTCTTACAAAACATTTATAATATATCATAAAATTCTTCTTATTATATAGTTCTTCACTCACAACAACATTCTTAACATTATTATTTTAATCCATAGTAAGTTGAGACATATATGCTAATTACTTATATATATTATTAATAAACATCAACAAAAAAAAAATCTATTTCATTAGAAATTCATAACAATATTGAACAATAAAATTTATAATAAAAGAATTGATCAAATAAAATATTTAAAAATATAATTACAAGTTCCATAAAATAAAAAAAAAATAAAAAGTCTAATATTAATAATATATATAAAAATTATACTTCATATATTGCTAGGCATCACGCAAAGAACTATTATTTGCAATAGCAATTTGAGACTGCGAACAACAACAAGATGCTACTGTTTGCAACCCTAAATTGTTGTTGCAAACAGTAGTTCGCTATTCGTAGTAACCTGTTATTTAAAAAAGGAAAAATATATATGTTACGAATATAAACATAAGAAACAATCAAAATCAAAATATATAGTATTTATATGAATATTATGAAACATATACTAAAATTTGACGATGAAAAATTTACTTTATTCATGTATTTAGGGAGAATTAGTGAAAGTTAGAGATGAAAAATTCATAGAAAAAATAAAAATCAATATAAACAAACAATAATGAAGTAAAAATAATATTATTTCGAATTTTTAGAGAAAGATTGTAAAGTTCAGGAGAGAGAGAAGAAATGGTAGAGTTTAGGTATGAGGAAAATATAGGATAACGAAGAAAAAAATAATTTTATTAAATTTAGATAGATTTATAAAGTTTAAATAGGGAGAAAAAATAGAGTTTAAATAGAGAGAGAAAACATTCAAAGTTGTTAGTAAGCAAATTTTGAAATCTTGGGGTTGATGGTTGGATTTCAACTATGTATATTTGAGAAGGAAAAGTCTATAAAAGTCTTAAAATTAAAAAGTTTACAAAAGTTTATAACTTTTTAAATACCACATAACTTTTAAAGACTCTTTAGTCTTAATCGAATGCTACACGACTTTTAAAGACTCTTTAAAAATCTTGATTGAATACCGTCTAACTTTTAAAGACTCTCTACAAGTTTAAATTGAATACCTCTAAACTTTTAAAGTTCATAAAAATCTTTAAAATTCTACAAAAGTCATGATTGAATACACCCCCTTAGATAATTGATACGAATATATGATTAAATAGTTCGTACCAAATTATTTAGATTTAACATATGGGTTTAAGATTAACAAGCCATGTTTAGTCGGCAAATTATATCGTGCATACCGCGCATCAAAACGACGTCGTTTTGTTTAATAAAAAGAAATTGTATCCGTTTTGCGCTGTTCCGCACCCTTTCGCAAAAAGTAACTCTATTATTCAGTTTTATTTTGTATACACTGCAGTTTCAGTTCAACACAACTACAGTTTCATTCGATATTTATAGACTCAAATATGTGAAGATGATATTTAATTTTATTTTATATACACTATAGTTTTATTAAAACACAACTACATGATCATTTTGATATAATTACAGCTTCATTGTACAATATACACTCAAATATGTGAAATGTTATTCAGTTTCAATTTATATACACTGTAGTTTCATTTCACCACAGCTACAGTATCATTTTGATATAACTGCAGTTTCATTTGATAATATAAAAATAATACGTGAGGCAGTGTCGATTTAGATACACTGTAGTGTCAGTTGGTAATTAACATACAAAAAAACGCTCGCTCTGCTAACACTAACGGCGCGCCGTTTCTTTAAGTACGACGCCGTTTTGACCACGGTGCACATACACCGCGGTCCACGATATAACGACTGTGTTTAGTCGGACCATTCTGAGCTTGAACTATTATGGTTTAAAATTTTCGAAAGTCACATTTCAAGTGCATTTAATGCGCTTTATAGATAGAGAGATTTGGAACACATATTTGGCTCTTGGCATACTTACCACATGTTAGAGGTGAATTCTGCGATGGTTTTATTATGGCAAAGTGTCATTATGAGGCTGACACTCCATGTGATTATGATGTGATAACACTTTCTGATCGGATTAAAGTTATGGCAGGTCTGTCGAATGTTTAATTCACTCTTCCCCGCCATAATTACAACATTCCCTATCTTTTACCGGTCGATGCTCGATCAAATTATGTTTATTCCAGCCAGATCCAATCGGTATAAACTTCGTGATCGATTACCAAATGTGATCCAAGTAAAGCGAGGTATATTACCTATTAGTAGTAGCCTTGGATTTTCATTGTCACTCAAAAAAAAAAAGTAAAAGAAATGAATCGATTTGTTGGCTATTATATAGGAGCGATATTTGCTCAATGATATCGAGTTGACTATGCTTATTAAGTAGTTTTTTTTTTTTTTTTTGAATGCTACTGGCTCTATTACAATGTAGTATCTATTCATATACTTTCTCAACCTACTGAAACACAAAGAACCAATAACGCCTCTATTGAGGCTTGAGCTCACAACCTTCCAATTAGAAGTCCAACCCGGGTACGCCTCCATTAAGTATTTTGGTTAGACTAAATAACTAGAAGTTGTTAGCCAACCAAACTTTATATACATTATATAGCACCTTAAGTTTATGATATTCTGCACGGAATAATACAATTGGATATCAACTATGAGAGGAGATAACTCGCTTTCATTATTATGAGATCAAGTTTCTCGTATTTAAGGTTATTACTCAATTAATGAGTAAACTACATTTAGATCCATCAACATATTATTAAGTTATGATAATATGAAGTTATATAATGATAGTAGAGTGTGAATAGTATGTGACATTATTTCAATTAAAAATTGATTCCATCATAAAACAAATAAGATAAAAAGATTATTATCCAAGTGAGAGAGAGTTTAGAAATGCGATTGATACGATAGATATTCTCCAAAACTTTGGTTGAATCAAAGCAAATAGCAGGCAAAGGAGAGATATCTGTATTAGTCTCAAAGTAATAATAATGAGAAACCTGATTAGATTGAATCCACAAGAAGTAAAATTTAACATGACATTGAGGAGGAGGAGGAGGAGGAGTCGTTATTCCTCATGAAATGATTCAAAAGACGTACTGGAGAAGTGATGCCATCAGATCAGATCAGATCAAAAGCGTTTACTGTTTCTTCAACAGCAGCGGTCCAACGTTATCTCCGGTGGCTTTATTGTGCTTCACATGGCCTCCATCGCACAATGGGAATGTCCCAGACCTCCAACACCTGCACCCACACACTCCTCGATCACCTCGTTAGTTTCAATTGTAAATCTATCAAACACCTACAAGCTTCATCCAAGAACATTGAACATGGGACTTGAAAGCTAGGATCGGAATTGAAGAACCAACCTGCAGTAAGCAGTGAGAGGCTTAGCGAGTTCGGTGACCACCACGGAGTCCACCACTTTGTCTTCCGTCTTTCTGATGTCTGGGTTTATGGATTCCGCTCTCACCGCCACGTTCCGCCGCTGAGGCTTCGTCGCCGTAGAGGGTGTTGCCGCCCGAACAAATCCCCAAAAAACACAGTTGCCAATGCTCGCCATTTTTCTTTACTCAAACTCAAAAGAGTGAGCACTGCAGATGTACGTACGTTATGTATAGAAGAAGGGTAGCCGGTGTGATGAACGTGTGGCAACCACGCTTTGTGTCTGGATTATATCTCTTCCCCTCTACTGGTGGCTCTCAACTTCGCACGTCCACTTCTACTTTTGGTTTGAGCCATGGTATTTTAATTTATTTTTTTTAATACATTAGGTTTTACGAGTCATCACGTCTATCCTCAAATTCTCATCCCTATCTGTACACTTTGAGTACAAGGGATCTTCTGATCAGTCAAGATCTCCTAATGACCTCAGATTTCAATGAGATTCAAACCTACACTAGCATTGGAACAAGACTCTAGGATGATCAACCGAATCAACTAAAAATATGACAAAAACTAACAGTAATTAAAATCATTTAAAAAAAAAAAAAAAATTATGCATATGATCCTGTTAAATGCTAAAAATAAAGCTTAGATTCCTCTACCAGTTTCCTAGTACAATGGAAGACATCAAATTGGAATGTTCAACAACACCAACATCTAGGAGAGCAGAGTACAACATTTACAATTACAATTACAATTACAGTGCCGATGATTTTCTATTTAAGGATACAGGTGAGTCGAGGCAACGAAACAGGCTTGAAGCAAGTATAAAAGAGAGTGACTTTTCCTGATCAAAATGTACAGCTGCAAAATTAGTTGAGAGCATTGCGCATTTCTGAAAAGCGAATATCAGGAAATGACTACAAGAAGCTTGTGCCAATTGTCAAGTCATTAAGATTAGACATTATCTGGTTCCTTGTAGTTCCAATCTGGTGGGCGATCTCTAGCTGTTCCTCCAAGTTGAGCATCTCGTAACTGCATAACCAGGAAAATCAAAATTCAGACAGTTATTTAACTGTCACAGTGTTGAATATGTAATACGGAGTATTTTTTTATGCACTCATACAAAGTATTACAGAGCACGTTTTTGTTCATTCTTAAAAGGTTAGAAATCACTCACTGGAAAAGCAATTCGCCGTCTACAATGTTTTCAGGGCCAGGCCGATGAGCCTTTCCATTAGAATGAAATTGTCGAAAAGATTTTGGGTTTAGTCCTGCTACATGGGGAACAGCATCTACTAGCTTTTTCTGCAACGACTGAAGCCTGCGAAAAGTGAGTTCATCCAAAGGTGCTATACATCCAAGGCCACCATCCAATGTACCAAATAATAAAGCAAAGCGGTTTGTTTTATCGGAGACTGGAGCAGCACTGGTTCGATCAGGAGAATTTGGAAGCAACTGTAATCGCAAGAACTTGGAGATACGAGCACCAACGTGGAACTCTGCCCTAGACAGCAGCTTCTGTCCTTTCCAACTTTCTGACATCTTTGGAGCATAATAGAATATCTGCATTTGAGTCAAGTGTGAAAACATCAGAGCCTAAATCATCCCAAATTGCAGTGGACTGAATCAAAGAGAACTTTTAGTTGATAGACAAAAAAAAAAAAAAAAAAGGTTTCACTTTTGTGCAACTCTGAACAAGTGACCAGCAATCAATTCTTTTGCATAGTCAGAATCTAGAATTTCAACAAAAAGAAGTTGGGCGCAAACCTGAACATTCATTTGATCATCTGAAACTACAAGACTGAGAGTGCTTCCATCAATCAAAAACTCTGTTGCTAAGCAATCAAGTGAGCTAAAATCCTTTGCCAATAAATTAAGTTGAGATCCCTGCTCCTTCCAACTGAGGAAGTATATGCTTTTGTGAATGTCTCCAAGAAGGATGAAATTCTTAACCTATAACATTGTAGTAATATACCATCAAAACAAGCATTAAATAGGCATCTTACAAAACTTAAACAAGAAGGCAAGATGTAGAATAAAGCTGATAGTCATCCTGGAACATTAAAAAACTAGATATGGTGCAAACCTCTCAACTGCACAATGTTCCTTATCGCAATAAACATGTAATTTGTCAACGCTAAAGGGGACTTTTTTCAATATTATTAATTATTAGATTAAAACATCCTGGAACATTAAAAAACTAGATATGGTGCAAACCTCTCAACTGCACAATGTTCCTTATCGCAATAAACATGTAATTTGTCAACGCTAAAGGGGACTTTTTTCAATATTATTAATTATTAGATTAAAACATCCTGGAACATTAAAAAACTAGATATGGTGCAAACCTCTCAACTGCACAATGTTCCTTATCGCAATAAACATGTAATTTGTCAACGCTAAAGGGGACTTTTTTCAATATTATTAATTATTAGATTAAAACTACAGCAGACACTTCCAACTAACTGGAAATGGAAAAGCAAAATAACATGAGTATGTAACTTCGAATTTTTTGCAAGGCAACTGACAAGAATCCTGTGCTTCAAGTCACACAGAATGAAAAAGAAAGAGTGCAATGCATTTTCACACAATCATGTTGAAGATTATAAAATTGACTTACAATATTCAAGCTCACAACATGAAGAGGGGGAACGTCATAGAATGCAATGACGATTAGTTCAGAACCCGTCCATTTGTGTAAGATAATTTTAGGGCCCGATGCTATCAACAAATGACCTTGAAGTGAAGCTAGAGCAGAAATAGCACCCTTGAACTCCTTGGAAAAGACTTCCAAGACCTGAGAACATACACATGAATAAAAATAATTTGTTTTGGGAAGACAAATGAAGACATAATTTTTTTTTTTTAAAAAGAAATACAAATGATAAAGAAGATACCGGAGTCCGAGAATTGTCATTAGTCCTGTCAACATTAAATAACAACACACGACCCCTTGCAGCAACATCCTCCCCTTGCACATAAGCAGTCCCAACTGCCAAAAGTGTTTCATTTTCTCTAGTAGTGGTATTCTGGAAGCATTGAAGGACAATTTAATAACGAGTTATTATAGCAAATTAGCTCATCATTGTCATATAAGACATGGGACCCCCATATACAGATATGCCAGATACTCCCTGTTGAGATTCATTATGTGCCTTCATTATTTTCATTATTATGCTTTTATTATTTCTTGTGTCTGTTAGTATTCTCTTTACTGCCTATATATATTGTAGTCTGTGTATTTACTTGTTAAGGGAGTGTAAATAACAACACAACATTTTCTTCTTCAAATCCTTCAACACTCCCAAAAGTTGTCACCTTTACAAATTACTAGTAGGTAATATAACTAGATTTCAGCCTTGTTTTATACACTGAAAATTTGAATAAGCACTATTGCATATATATTAAGGAACAAAATAAAAGACACTACTTTATGCAAGAATTGAAGCCTCAAAATTTTAAAGAAATATTCTCTAAAAATTTGGTCAAAGAAAGAATTCATGACCGTTAAGAAACCAGAAGTGATAATTAATGGGAAGAGAGAGTAACAAACACCTAATAGATATAAAAAGTGCAAGAACTTACAAGTAGTGTAACCACTCGCACAGTCAGAGCATTTTCAGAGCTTTGCATAGGAATGGTTGCCCTTGTTTGCCATGGCCCACCAGATTTTTCAGGTTCCATAATACGAATCTCAAACTCTTCAATATGATAAGTTCCTTCATAATTTAAATTTTCAGGATCGGTTTGCAGACCAACATCTTGATCAGTTAGAGATGAAATGACTTGATTAAGGGGCTTGAGAACCTGTTGGAAGTAAAACAAAACAAAAAAGAGAAGTATTAGGCTGTCACAGACTTCAGGAAATTCATATCATCAATTGCTCAACAAGTCATGGTTTACATCTTGAATTTGTGCCTGTATAAAGTTGCTGAGTACAATATATACACTGCAGCAAAGGGTAAGAAAAATACTCATAAACTCACCGGAACTGAAACTATTAGCGGATATAAATTCTTGTCAGCATAATAAGTGACTTGATGTGGAGTCCCCTTCAATGGAATCTGGCCAAAATGAACACCCCCACCCAAGAAAAGGGGGAAAAGGAAAATGAATCAGAATTTATAGGAAGAAGTTGACATCAAGTCTATAGCTAAATAGTTTCAAGTGAATTATAAGTTCAACTAAAAGTATCTAAGCATCCCTTTGAATTTGGGAATGACACATAACATTCCTGATATAGTATACAGCTGATTCAAAAGCACATTAAACTACTGAAATGCCAAATTGCCAACCATGCATACAAGAATTTTCGTAATTCTTGAGAAATCACCAGGATCCAAGTATATATGATAAACCCAAGGGACTAGTATAGATCAGCAAAATCATAGGGCATAAGGTAGGTAGCAGTTGTATAAGGGGAGCAAGTGCAATGTGAAAATAAAAGAAGACCAATACATACCTTCTGAACTGGCCAATAGTTGTCATAGGATAATAGAGATGGAAGTTGGCAAATTTTTAGAGCACCCTTGAATTAGAAAATCACAAAATATTAGCCAATATGAGTGTCATGAACCAAAGAAATGTAGCACATAAAAGAGCGCGATTTTACCTGTGCAGTTATGTATATAAGCCCATGATTACAGCTAACATTGTGAAGAACAGTAAAGCCAACAATAGGTCCATCACAAAGCTGCAAAGAAAGAAAAATGATTAATGACAGTAAAAATGGCTGCTGGTAAAATTTAGCCTCTGAATAACATAAAGGCAGATTCCACCAGAAAAAAAAAAAAAAAAAAAAAAAAAAAAAAAACAAGTTGAGAAAGTTGCATAACTCATCAAATCATTGATGAGGTAAGCAATCCAGACTAGATGAAATAGTATGTTCAAGAAAAGAAAAGTAATCCAATGCCATCCAGGCTAACATCTATATATATGCCTATCTCAAAAGATTGCATTCTTAATTTGTGTCACTTTGTCTTCTACATTTAAATTTCAATACTAGAGAAACAATAAAAGACACATTTAAATTTGTGGGGAAAATATAGAGCAGAGCCAAAAATTACCTGGGGATGCATTCGGAGCCGTTCACGAAACAACACAAACCAAGCTGGCCTAGACCCAGCAAGGAACAATCCTTGAAGACCACCAACATTCTTAAAAATGTTTAAACGTTGTACTGGGTTTCCAGATGATATCTCCTCTCTTGTATAATTTTCAAGTGGGACTCGTACAAATCTTAAATTTCTAAGCCTAGAAGCATTTACACTATTAGGATTAATAGAACTC